CTTGTCAATATTTTTTCCTATACGTATACGTAATATTTTTTGTATCATTTTAAAGAAATGACTACTCATACGCCACTATGTACCTCATGAATTCCTAATAAAATTATCCAATGAAATTGCCGTAGCCCATTGAAAATATTAACCCACAGCCTCTTTACAAATGGCCTGTAAATATTCATTTCAACTTGAAAAATATCTCAAATAAAAATAATAATAGTAATAAACAAAAGAAAATTTCGAAAAAAAGAAAATAATCCACTTCACTACCAGTTTGTCAACATTATGACAAACAAGCTGCCATTATTCAAATTTTGGCCGTTGTTGATATTGGCAGTAGCTGGTCATTTTTGTCCACTTGATATGGTTATTGATAGTTCATTTTAATCATGGCCATTGTTGTCAACAATGAACAAAAAAAAAAAGAAAAACAAAAAATAAAAGCGTCCAATGACAAATATGTATTGTGTTTTTGGTGGGACTCTTTTTGTTAAAAAATATCGGCAACTTTTTATTTCCTATTTTTTTTTTTTTTTTTTTTTTGAGAGAGGGCTGTTTATTTATTTACATGAAAGTAAACAAGAGAATTCAGTTGGCAACAAAACATATTAAAAAAAATAATATATAAAATAAATGGTCGAAATTTATGGGTCACAAAAATTAATAAATTAAAAAAATTTAATCCTTTAAAAATGATTTTTATTTTTTCATAAAAAAAAATATGTCCAGTGGTCCTGATATTTTTATAAAAAAAAGTACAAAAGGTCGAAATTTATGGGTCACAAAAATTAATAAATTAAAAAAATTTAATCCTTTAAAAATGATTTTTATTTTTTCATGAAAAAAAATATGTCCAGTGGTCCTGATATTTTTATAAAAAAAAGTACAAAAGGTCGAAATTTATGGGTCACAAAAATTAATAAATTAAAAAAATTTAATCCTTTAAAAATGATTTTTATTTTTTCATGAAAAAAAATATATCCAGTGGTCCTGATATTTTTATAAAAAAAGTACAAAAGCTTTAAGTTCGAATTTTGGAACTTAGAAAAAAAAATCATAAAAATTCCCTTAAAATCTTAAAAATGCCGAATGTATCCCTTATATTAGGGTCTATTCAACAGTGGACCTGCATAGACAATATTCAAATACGAAACTTGAAAAAAAGTCGGTGAATAAGGCAGCTAAAATCCTCAAAATAACCAATATCGGGAGGAGCCGTTATATGGGGGCTATAACAAAAAAGTGTAGTATCCCTTACTTCAAATACCTAAGTTGAAACATTTCCGGTGAATAATGTCTCTTAAATCATCAAAATACCGCATATCGGAAGGTATGGGGGCTATACCAAAACGTGGATCTACATGGCCTATTTTCAATGACAAAAGTCCTGCAGATATAATACACATTTGAGTAAAATTGTTATCAACCTACTTCATTTCGTTCGGAAGCTAGAGTTATTTCCACAGACGGATAGACGGTGGAGGGTAAAAAAGGTCCTTGAAAATAGGAAATATATAAAACTTTTAATTCACTTTTGTTGATAAATGGAAAAAAATTTAAAACAAAAACGTTCGTGAATAATTGGAAAAATTTACAAAAATTCCACCTTTGTCAATAAATGATTTTTTTTTTAATTCACATTTGTTAATGTTTGAAAAAATATTTTTTTCAAAAAAAAAAAAAATAAATAAATAAATAAATGACAGTTGATAATTGGAAAATATTTAATTTAAAAAATCCACGTCTCTTGATAATAGAAAAATATATTTTTGGAGAAAATCCATGTCGGTTAGCAATTGGAAAAAAAGTTGTTTAAAAACATCCCCGCCTTTTTATTAATTGAATTTTTTAAATTCACGCATGTGTATAATTTGAAATAAATCCAGGTCTGTTGATAATAGGAAAAACATTTTTTTTTTTTTTTTTTTTTTTTTGAAAAAAATCCAAATCTTTTGATAAAAAATCAAAGGCTGTTAAAATTTGGAAAAATTATTTATTAAAAAAATCACGGCATTTTGACTTTCCATGATTCAGTGATTTTTTTTATTTTTTTTTAGATCCACGTTTTTTGATATTTGGATTTTTATTTCAAATCCATGTCTGTTGATATTAGAAAAATCATCGATTGAAAAAAAATCCACGAATGCTGATAATTTGTAAATATATTTTTAAAAAAATTTCGAAAAATATTTGTTAAAAAATCCACGTCTGTTGATTATTGAAAAAATATATTTTTTATAAAAATCCACGTCTTTTATTGATTAAAAAAATAAATCCACGTCTGTTGATTATTGAAAAAATATATTTTTTATAAAAATCCACGTCTTTTATTGATTAAAAAAATAAATCCACGTGTGTTGATTATTGAAAAAATATTTTTTTTCAAAAAATCCACGATTTTTTATTATTGAAAAAATATTTTTTTAAAAATCCACGTCTGTTGATTATTGAAAAAATATTTTTTTAAAAATCCACGTCTGTTGATTATTGAAAAAATATTTTTTTTTAAAATCCACGTCTGTTGATTATTGAAAAAATATTTTTTCAATAATCAACAGACGTGGATATTGAAAAAATATTTTTTTTTAAAAATCCACGTCTGTTTATTATTGAAAAAATATTTTTTAAAAATCCACGTCTGTTGATTATTGAAAAAAATATTTTTTTAAAAAACCACGTCTGTTGATTATTGGAAAAAATATTTTAAAAAAATTCAAGTCTTTTGATAATTAGAAAAAATGTATTTTTTAAGTCCACTTTTGTTGATAATTAGTTTTTTTTTAAATCCATGTCTCTTGATTATTGGAAAAAATAATTTTAAAAAGTTCCCGTTTTTGATAATTTGAAAAAATACGTCTATTAATAATTGGAAAAAATATTGTTTGAAATAAGTTCACGTCTGCTGATAATTAGGAAAACCGTTTTTAAAAAATTCACGTCTTTTGGTAATTAGAATATATATTTTTGAAAAAATCCTCGAATGTTGATAATTTGGAAATATGTTTTTAAGAAATTATCGAAAAATATTTTTTAAAAAATCCCCGTCTGTTGATCATTGGAAAAATATATTTTTATAAAATTCACGTTTTTGACATTTGAAAAAATATTTTTTGAAAAAATCCAATATTGTTTATTAGGAAATATACTTTAAAAATTCACATTTTTCGATAATTTGAAAAAAAAATATTCTTTTAAATCTACGTTTATTAATAATTGGGAAAATATTGTTTGAAATAAGTTCACGTCTGTTGATAATTAGGAAAAACGCTTTTAAGAAATACACGTCTTTTGATCACTGAAATATATAATTTTTGCAAAAAAAAAAAAAAAAAAAAAAAAAAAACACACGTGTTGATTAATTAATTTTAAAAATATTTTTAAGAAACTCGCATTTTTTATAATTTGAAAAAAAAATATTTTTAAAATCCTCGTCTGTAGATAATTGATTTTTTTTACTTTCACATCAGTTGATAATTAGGAAAAATATTTTTAAAAAATTCCCATTTTTCGACAATTGGAAAAAAATAAATATTTTTTTAAATCCTTGTCTGTTAATAATTGAATTTTTTTTAATTCAACATCTCTTGATAATTGGTTTTTTTTTTTAATCAACATTTGTTGATAATTTCACGACCATCGATGGTAGGAAAAAATATATTTTGAAAAAAAATCACGTCTTTTCAAATTTGGAAAAAATACTTTTAAAAAATCCACGTCTGTTCCAATTTGGAAAAAAATTGTTTAAAAAATCCACGTCTTTTCAAATTCTGAAATAAAAAAAATTACGTCTTTTCAAATTTGCAAGAAAAATTATTTAAAAAATCCACGTCTTTTCAAATTTGGAAGAAATACTTTTAAAAAATCCACGTCTTTTCAAATTCTGAAATAAAAAATCACGTCTTTTCAAATTCTGAAATAAAAAAAATTACGTCTTTTCAAATTTGGAAAAAATACTTTTAAAAAATCCACGTCTGTTCCAATTTGGAAAAAATACTTTTAAAAAATCCACGTCTGTTCCAATTTGGAAAAAAATTGTTTAAAAAATCCACGTCTTTTCAAATTCTGAAATAAAAAAAAAATCACGTCTTTTCAAATTCTGAAATAAAAAAAATTACGTCTTTTCAAATTTTCAAGAAAAATTATTTAAAAAATCCACGACTTTTCAAATTTGGAAGAAATACTTTTAAAAAATCCACGTCTTTTCAAATTCTGAAATAAAAAAAATCACGTCTTTTCAAATTCTGAAATAAAAAAAATTACGTCTTTTCAAATTTGGAAGAAAAATTATTTAAAAAATCCGCGTCTTTTCAAATTTGGAAGAACAATTATTTAAAAAATCCACGTCTCTTCAAATTTGGAAAAAAAATTATTTAAAAAATTCAGGTCTTTTCAAATTTGAAAAAAAAATTGTTTGAAAAATCCACGTCTTTTCAAATTTGGAAAAAAATGTTTAAAAAATCAACGTCTTTTCAAATTTGGAAAAAAATATTTTTAAAAAATCCACGTCTTTTCAAATTTGGAAAAAAAATATTTTTAAAAAATCCATGACCTTTCAAATTTGGAAAAAGATTGTTTAAAAAATCTTTTCAAATTTGGAAAAAATTGTTTAAAAAATCCACGTCTTTTCAAATTTGGAAAAAAATTAATAATCCACGTCTGAGATAATTGGAAAAAATATATATTATTTAAATCCAGTACTCTTGATATTTGAAAAAAAAATTAAGTCAGTCCCACGAAACGTTTTTTTTTATAGAAAAAATTGTTTCAAAAATTTTGGAGGAAAAATGATGTTTAAAAACGTATTTATATTCAAGATTTTTAATTCAATTTGTTGTAACCACTTCACCCATGACCTTTTCCCCAGTTTGTTTTTATTGATTCTGAACTTGTGTATGTAATTAAAAAAAAATGTTAATGAGCTCTTAAGTAATTGTATTGACTTATTGTTGTTTTTTTCTTTCTTTCTCCCTCACTCTCTCCCGTCCTCTATGGGCTATTTGCAGATGCGGCTTTATGTATGGCGAGCTGACAGACAAAGAAACAGTGGCCCGTTTGGAGTATACGCTGGAAAATCAACAACAGGACCAATTTGAAATATTGCTCTATAAAAAGAATAGTAAGTTTAAAAAAAAAACAGAGTCCTTTCCTTTTAGAATTTCCCTATATATTTTTGTTTAACAGCTAAACATTTGTTTCCTTGAAAAATATTGATAAATAAAAATTAGTAGGTAAATTATCCTGGCCATAAATCTTTATGCTTTCGCAAGTAGAAACTAAGCAAAACTAAAGCCTAGAACCCAGTGAATTTTTTATTTGAAAATCCTAGTAAGTGCTTTGTTCATAAACCTACTTTTAGTGGCTTTCCCCACCATTGCTGGCTGCTACTCTTTACCTCTCTCTCTCTCTTGCTCTCTACGTTAATCTCGCTCTCTGACGACACCTGAGACCAAAAGGATTCTAAAATGCCATTCTAGAGAATTTCTGTTTGTAGGGGTTGTAGCTTTACACTTTGACAAGGGGATTTGTTGTTATGGGCATGAGTTTATGGTCGTAGCTGGGGGGGTGGGTTGGATTTTAAAAGTCCAAACATTTTGAATTCCTACGGCCATATGGGACATATTAAAGCCATCAAAAGGAAAAGCAAAAGGGTGTATTATGAAAAGTGTGGAATGGTTGAGGGAATGGGATACGTAGTTGGTATATATGGCTCATAAATTGTCTGTGCAAATACTTGAATATGCAACAGCATGAACTGCACCAAATGGTGAACAGTGGGACGAAAAGTTCAGAGAACATTTTTTTCATTAAAATTTTAATTAAATTTTTAGAGGAAAAAGTACCATTTTCTCAAAACTAAGAAGAACTGTTGGGTCACCATTTTTATACTTTTTTGCTGAATTATAACAGTTTGTAAAAACTGTTATACACAAAAATATGTTGTGATACCCTATAATATCGATATAAATTCCGATTATTCGCAGTTTATGTTAATTTCTGTTAATTTTTATTAGTATAACAGTTATAAAGTTAACTGTTATACTCCCAAAAATGATTGCAAATCATGATAAGCATGAATATATGACCATATAATGAGTTTTAAAACACTTTTATTCATGTATAACAGTTTGCAAAAACTGTTATACAAAAAATATATCGTCATACCCTATAAAATCGACAAATATTTGTATTATATTCATTACATGTTAATTTCTGTTCATTTTTGTTAGTATAACAGTTATAAAGTTAACTGTTATACTTCTAAAAATAATTGGTAATCATTGAAATAATAAATATATGACCATATAAATAGCTTTAAAACAGTTTTATTGATTTATAACAGTTTATAAAAACTGTTATACAGAAAAAATAAGTCATCACACCCAAAAAAATTGACAAAAAAAGTGTAAAGTTAACTGTTATACTCCCAAAAATGGGTAGAAATCATCATTTAGGACACTTTAACTGATGTATAACAGTTTGTATCAACTGTTATACACAAAAATATGTCGCCATACCCTAAAAAATTGACAAATAATTGCATTGTACACTTGTTGTGTCATTTCTTTCCATTTTTATTAGTATAACAGTTATAAAGTTAACTGTTATACTCCAAAAAATGAGTGGAATGGATCTTATATATAAATATACGACCATATAATGAGTTTTAAGACACTTTTATTGATGTATAACAGTTTATAAAAATTGTTATACACAAAAATATGTCGTCATACTCATAAAATGGACAAATATATGCCTTATACGCATGTTGTGTTAATTTTTATTAGTATAACAGTTAAAAAGTTAACTGTTATAATCCCAACAAGTAAAAAAACATTAAGTTCGGCCGGGCCAAACTTTTAATACCCTCCACCTTAGGGTAAAAGAAACATTAGAAGAAATGTGGCAAAAACCATTAAAATGCCGATTATGGGGAGGTACCGTTATATGGGGGCTATACCAAAACGTGGACCTATAATTACAATGTTTCGCCACCGGAGCTGGAACCCATTATGACCCACAAATACCAATTTTTAGACAAATCAGTGAAAAAATGTGGCAAAAACCATCAAAATACCGAATATCGGGAGGTACCGTTATATGGGGGCTATATCAAATCATGGACCCATGCATGCAATGTTTCGCCACCGAAGCTTGAACCAATTATGACCAACAAATACCAATTTTCGAACAAATCCCTGAAAAAATGTGGCAAAAATCATCAAATTACCGAATATCGGGAGGTACCGTTATATGGGGGCTATACCAAAACGTGGACCTATAATTACAATGTTTCGCCACCGGAGCTGGAACCCATTATGACCAACAAATACCGATTTTCAGACAAATCCGTGAAAAAATGTGGTAAAAAAAAATAAAATACTAAATATCGGGAGGTACCTTTAAATGGGGGCTATACCACAACGTGGACCTATACATGCAATGTTTTGCCACACGCTCAGGGACCCGCTATGACCTACAAATACCAATTTTAAGACAAATCTGTGAAAAAATGTGGCATAAATCATCAAAATACCGAATATCGGGAGGTACCGTTATATGGGGACTATACCAAATTATGGACCCATACATGCAATGTTCCGCCACCGGAGCTGGAAACCATTATGACCCACAAATACCAATTTTTAGACAAATCGTTGAAAAAATGTGGTAAAAAAAAACTAAAATACTAAATATCGGGAGGTACCTTTAAATGGGGGCTATACCACAACGTGGACCTATACATGCAATGTTTTGCCACACGCTCAGGGACCCGCTATGACCTACAAATGCCAATTTTAAGACAAATCCGTGAAAAAATGTGGCATAAATCATCAAAATACCGAATATCGGGAGGTACCGTTATATGGGGACTATACCAGAACGTGGACCGATATATCTCATTTTCAATACCAACCATCCTAGACACAATGCAAATAGCTCTGCTAAATTTTGGAGCTCTACGTCAAATAATGTGGGCTGTATCGTGATTTCAACAGACAGACAGACGGACAGACAGACAGACAGACGGACAGACAGACAGACGGACATCGTTAAATCGAGTTAGAATTTTATGCTGATTATGAATATATATACTTTATGGGGTCTAAAACGAATATTTAGGGATGTTACAAACGGAATGACAAAGTTAATATACCCTCCTTTCCAAGGTGGAGGGTATAAAAATGACCATATAATGATTTTAAAGACACTTTTTTAAGTGTATAACAGTTTAAAAAACTGTTATACACAAAAAATATATAGTCATATGATATAAAATGGGCAAATATTTGCATCATACACATGTTGTGTTCATTTTTGTTAAGTTTTAATAGTATAACAGTTATAAAAATAACTGTAATACCCCCAAAAATGATTGGTAATCATCGAAATTATGAATATATGACCATATAATGAGTTTCAAGACACATTAACTGATGTATAACAGTTTGTATAAACTGTTATACACAAAAATATGTCGTCATACCCTATAAAATGGACAAATATTTGCATTATGCGCATGTTGTGTTCATTCCTGTTCATTTTTAACAGTATAACAGTTTTAAAATAACTTGTTATACACCCAAAAATGATAGGAAATCATCGTAAGTATGAATATATGATCATATAACGAGTTTTAAGACACTTTTATTGATGTATAACGGTTTACCAAAACTGTTATACAACGAAAAATTTATGTTTTTCGTTATAAAATGTAAATAGAACTAAAATCATGACCTTTTTCCCAAATAAAAGTCCCACTGTCACCATCTGAAACATTAATGCCAGTACATATCCCCCACCAAATGTGCCAAAGTCTTAACTCAGTCAACACAATAACTGTATATGGGGCCATACACAAATACACAAATACACATGTGTATGTGTGTGAGTGTGTACGTTTGTAAATTTTTTTGAAACTGCAGCAACATAAAAACTGCACAAACAATTTATTTTTATGGTTTTTACAAACACCACTGCTACTCTGGCATTGAAAAAAAGGAACAACAATAGGGGGTAGAGGAATAAAATAGTATTCACAAAAAAAAATGTGTTAGAATATTTTCTTTTTTCAATGGAAGAGAGTATAATGAAGCTGCATTCTACTTCACCGGAAAATGTTGTAGCATATTTTTTCCAAATCAAGAATAATATTTCGGAACTTTGGATTCATATGAACCCATCTACCTACATTCATCAAATCTTTCGACAGATATAAAACCTACAGCAGTAAATTTTACTAATTTTATGAAGATTTTCAGCCGTCTAACATTTTTTTATTAAAAAAAATATTTTTCTCTGAGGTATAACAGTTTGTCAGAAACTGTTATACTTCGAAATATGATATAATGCCTTGGGGACATGCGGACATCTTAAAGTTAATTCTTTTTTAATGGTTTCTAATATAATTTATTTGTATAACAGTTATAAAATTAACTGTTATACTCACCAAAATTTAAAAAAAAAAATACGAAAATGAAGAATATTAAAAAATTAAAAAGATTTTTATGCATTTTGTGATGTATAACAGTTTATAAAAACTGAGGTTTTACTTCATAAAAACTGTTATACTTTGAAATATGATGCAACGCCTTGAGGACATGCCGACAACTTAAAGCTAAGTCTTTTTCTCTGATTTCTGATAAAATTTTTTGTATAACAGTTATAAAATTAACTGTTATACTCATCAAAATTTAAAAAAAATACAAAAACTAAGAATATTGACAAATTTAAAGGATTCTTATGCATTTTGTGATGTATAACAGTTTACAAAACCTTCTATCAAGAATAATATTTGAGAACATATGTATCTGGATCTGCCCTTTCATCAAATATCTGTATATAAAACCTACAGCAGTAATTTTGTGTAATTTCATGAACATTTACCGCTGTCTAACATATTTTCATAAAATAAATTACATTTTCACTAATGTATAACAGTTTGTCAAAATTGTTATACTCCGAAATATGGTGCAACGCCTTAGGGAAATGCCGATAACTTAAAGTTAAGTCTTTTTCTCTGATTTCTGATAAAATTTATTTGTATAACACTTATAAAATTAACTGTTATACTCATCAGAATTTAAAAAAAATACAAAAAATAAAAATATAAAAAAA